CCTTCTTCAGAAAATTTTCTGAAGAAGGGTCTAGACCCGAAACGTCAGCCTTCCTGCTCCTCTGATGCTGCTTGGCCTGCTGTGTTCATCCAGCTCTACACCGTGTTATCTGTGAAACATTGCTGTTATTGTAAATGATTCTGGTGGTGCTGACTTTGGCGTTTCAGCAGCTTTTTGGATATTCTTGGTTGTACAATTAGCTGAAAGGAGTTGAAGTAGTTTTCTTTAACAGTGGCTTTACTGATGAGTTGTTTTCAGCAAAGAAAGAGACCTTGTTTTTTTTTAATCCGTGCGTTCAATGTTATCTAATGGAATTTCTCAGCTGTGCTCCCTCACAGCATACCTTAGCACAATGGAACTTGAACCACAAGCTAGCATACTAGCAGACCTGCTTTCTAACACACTGGCACACATTGTGACCATGGTTTGAAGTTGGTTTTTAAACCCAAATCATCCAAGGTGCTATAAAACGTAAATTATCATTTCACTTCGTTTTATTTCTCTTTCATTTGGAAGATGGAGAGGTGTTGGGGGTTTATTTGCTGGTTCAGTTACAGTGCTTGAACAGTGATTGCTGGCAGCTAAACTATTACTTTTGCAATGTTCAACTACAAGGTACATGCTCGGTATTGGATTTTGCCTCAGACTTTGGATGATAAGTTTTACAACTAAATGACAAACTATGGTGCATAGTTGACAAACACAAGGAGATAACTGAGTACATGTCATTGGAGTCTCAGTTGTTATCTTGCTAAGTGTCATATTACAGCACAGATGTGGTGGGACTTGACTTTGCCTATACCTTTTTTATTATGTATAATACTTGTTTGAGACAAATTAACAAAACAAATTGGGGTAAAGCATATGTAGACTGTGTGACAGTTTTATCGTAAAATCTCTTTATTATCATTTAGAATCCATGAAATACTCTGTTATTGTAAAACACTCTTCCATTTGATGCAACTCTAAATCATTAGTGACATCGAAACCTAATCCTGTTGTTGATAAGTAATGCATCCCAGAGTAAATGAGTACTTTCATTGCACATTTCAAATTTTTCTGAGCAGAGATTCTAGAATGTTATGAAGTGCATTGGCTATCTAGAGGAGGAATGGAAGTTAATTTCCTCAATATTCCAAAAACTTGCAAATCTAATGTATTACTTTTAAAATCTAGCCATCATTGAGTATGAGGCAAACACACAACCAATGTGTGTCCAAGATCCCAAAAGTAGAATCGGAGATAAATGAACTAGTTAATCTATGACAGTGGCATTAGATTCTCCGTGAGAAAGCTGGGAAATTCTCTCCTCTTCAAATGGTAAAGGGTTGCTCAGCAGAAATCATTGTCTAGCTACTGGTGACACCTTTATCTGCAAATTTAGTAGAAAATTCCCAACATACATTTGTCTGAAATGGCAAATCTTTTCCAAGTTTAATTTCCTTTTGACATCAGCCATAAAGGATCTCTGACATCCTGCAACAGTGATGTGCACAAACAGATTAAGCAGTCAATTGCTTTAAAAAAAAGGTCATAGTAAACCAGGAAATAAAATGCACCTATTATTCTCTATCTTTAAGCATTGTAAAGGGAGCAAAATAAAGACTGGAACATTCAGATGGGGCCTAAGGTAAATCTTTAACAAAATATTTTTTATTACTTTAAAAATACCGTAATTTTTAACATCATAATGAAAACAACTGACTATCCCCAAATATAAAAACTGAGCTTAACAGCAGAAAAGACGTTGGTCAGTAGTCATGACAGCACACTGTTAAGAACCCAGTTTCAGCTCATTCAATAAGGCATAATTTTTTAACAGGTTTTTATGCCAAGATTAATTATGTAAGAAGAGGAAGTTAATATAAACTCAAGCTATTTCTAAGATTTTAATCAAAGAGGACATCAACAAAAGCATCTTGTAAAGGAGCAGGGAATCACTGACATCAATTTCTGCATTTGTTTGCAGGTGCCAGAAGCTGGTGTCAGTTTCATAGTGGTAATGATGGTTAACGCTGACAGTTTAAAATTGCAAAATTTGGACTCACAACAGCTCAACTAACAAGGTTGGCAGATGTATAGGATGTTGAACACTGTAGATGTGATAGATTGCGCATGGAACTCAGAACAAATGCTTTTTAATTGGATGTAGAGAAAGTGAATAGTAAGCAGGAATGTGGATGTATTAAAGATGCAAGACTACAATTGGTAATAAGGAAGTTAAAGATTTCTTAAATGAGTACTTTGCATTTCATTTCAGGTAGTGTGAGGCCAAAATAAAATACTACGATTAAACCTAAGAGATAGCAGAGTAACATAATGGTTTTAGAAGGTTGTGCCTGTGCTGAAGGGCTTGAATCCAATGAATGGTTTGCTTCAACTTGTTACCAAATCTCTTGTCTTGGATGCAAGTAAAAAGAAATATACATGTAATTTTGTACGTGGCACTAATTTAGGAAGTACAATACATTATTGGATGGAGATGAAAGTTACAAAAGAACTGAGTGACAAGAAAGATGAATTTCAGTTTGGAGACATGAGATCATCCACTTTGGATTTAAGAAGGACAAATTAGAATATTTATTTTGTAGATGAGAAGGTAGCAGCTACAGAGAAGCTAATTTAATTAGGTGTTATTCTTCACAAAATCTGAAATTTGATGATGCTCACTTAGACCCCACCTGATGCAGCATGTTCAGTTTTGAACACTCTGTCTTAAGAAGGACATGTTGACCTAAGAAGTACATTTTCACACACAGTTACAAAAATCTGTGTCAAAAGGATGTGGATTTAAATCTTCAAGTTTAAGATTGATAGGTTTTTTGTTGGATAACAATACCAAAGGATATGGAACAATGGTTGTCAAATGTAGTTAAGGTACAGATCAAGGAGTTAATTTAATGGTGGATAGGCTGAACGGGCCAAAAAAGCACATTCCAGTTCCTAAGATATTTTAGCGAATGTTAGTTGTGCAGTGATTATTGCAAACGTTTGCACTCAAAAATCAATGGAGCCCTTTATTCCATTTGCCTCCTTACATTCATTAGGTGTGTTTTTTGACAGGTCAGGAGGTAAAAAGTTATTCCTTCTTCATTTCATTTAATACTTCTCTGTAATGTTATATACCTTGGGGCTGCAATCTTCTTCATAGGAAAGCAAGTCAGTTTTAGCTTCAAGCTGTTCATCTTTCTCGAAATGAAACATCTTATTGTTTCCTATGATGAAGTTAAACGTTGAAGGAATATGAATATTTACTTCCTCAAACTGTTTAAATGAATAATCTAAATATTCAGACTGCTGTGTTCACTTAAAACAATCAACAGCTTATCCCTGACCACATTTTCCATTGCCTCAATTGAACTCACTAGAACATTAAATGTTTCACTGGTCATTTTAAATATTTTCAGCAAATTATTCTGAGAGCTGTTTCTAGTAATTTAATATTTAAAATGTGTGTACATTTCTGAATTCACTGTATCTGTAAAGTAAGATCTTCACATTAATATTCAGCTAAATATTTGTTGCTATTCAGGAGTTATTCAAAGATCTTAAACTTCTTTTGCATATCAGTTAAACTTTAAACATGATTATTTTACAATGTTTCCTTTTATGGATGGACAGAGTAAGTTAATCTATACAGAATGGGCTTGATATTGACAAATTCAGAGTCAAGCTCTTTCACTCATCAATGAGCACAAATATAAGTGGTGCCAATTTTTGATTTTTGTTTCCCAGTCAAATTTCTGACGTATGGAGACCTGCAGTTAGAAGGAAAGAAACCATATGCTGCTTTCATTCTCCATTAGGTATGTTTGGAAAGCCACAGACTGGAATGAGTGCCAGGTGAAGCCTCTACTCAGTCAGCAAGACCGACGCAGAAGCAATGAATCAACTTTGTGCGGAAGTGGCATCCAGGCTCGAGAGGTTTACTGTGCACAGAAGACAGGGGAAGTTAGCAAACAACATTTAAAAGAAGGTATTATATTCATGCATACATTTCTGAATTTTCCTTGTTTGTAGAAATATAAACCTTTTTCTGCTAAGGTACCTTGGGGGATTATGTGTCAGGGCTGGCTTGAGAATGTTGACAGGTTTAATCATGATGTTTCAGCCATTAGGGTGTCAGGCAGGATAAATAAATGAGCTGGACATTTCCTGCTCAGTAGTTTCACATGGACGTATAGCTTCAGATGTCTATACTAGTGAGCTTCCTAGTTAATGTTATGTATCGAGGGCATCTTATCTTAAAACACTAAACTGCATACTATCAACAGATAAAATCTTACATGTTCCAGTAATTGACTTTTGCCAGAATTTACTGATTCAGTTTGTGCCACTAGTACAAAGGAGAGCACCATGAGTACAATTCAACACTGTAGCAGGTCTTATATGAAGTTGAATAATGAACGGCAATGCTAAGAATTACAAGGAATGTGTGCTATAGCAACTTCTATTCCTCTGACTACTGTAAACTGTTTATAGGTTTCACAATACAGTCATATTTCTTTTCTATCTGGAAAATAATGTAGATTTTTTTGGAAGTAGAAATAGAGAAATTGGTGCTAAATTCAAAATATTCTGGGAATGAAGGAAAATATTAGATTTTTGTTTGTCACATTGCTTCAGGGAAGTCACTGTATTCCTCATAGAGCTAAAGTATGAACAAATACTTATGAACTCCTGTAATGCTGGTTCCACTCTATGAAACACGGTGCTATTGCTTCTCTCACCCTGTACGTCACACTAATGTCGCCTATAAAATATGCCAGATCAGCAATAATTCTCATTTTCACACCTGGAAGTGAATACACTATATCCATCTTCTTCACCAATCTTTATCCATTGATTAACCTATCAACCCAATGTTCGTTCCTGTCTTTCCATTCTGTGTATAATTTTTGGCTTCTTTGCTTGCCTGCTCATCTTTATTGTTCACTCCTTGCAGATTGCAACTAACAAACAGTTACAAGAAAAAAGCCTTTAGTGTGGTCTCTTAACTTAGCACCATAAACATTTTTACAGAAATATTTCAGAAGCATTCCAACTTGTGATTTCACTGAAGCTGTTACATATATTTTAAGTAGGTGTGATTAAGGCAGATGTCAAATTCTTAAAAGGTACAGTCCAATTCTGAGAATTTAACCACAAGTCAAAGATGTAAGATACTGATGTAACTTAGAATATTTTCCTTCTATTTCTTTAAAGTTGTGGGAGGATTGTGGTGTATTTTATCAATATGATTTATGAACCAACTAAGGTTGAATGACACATTAATAGTAAATCAGGGAAATAATCACATCAGTAACACAGTGAATGGTTGGTTCACATAGTCCACCATTGGGAAAGACTTATCATAAACTTTATCTGAGAACATTTCTATGAAATATGTTTGATCTACCTGTCTTGATGAAGTTCAAGTGGCTTTTTAAAAATAGTGTAGCCTGGTCAGGGACATAGATCCTTGTATATTAATTTCCTCAGACCATGTTAGCTGAAATTCACGGTAATAAGTATTTTTCATTTTTGTGGTTGAGATATTATTAGTACTAAAAAGAAAACTGTTGTACTTTATGCCTTTGACAAATGTAGAGATGGCATATGAGTTTCTATGTCTGAACAGGAACATTTACAATGCTTCTAAAATGTCTGCTTTCATGTTTACAACTTCTTGTTTCAATTTAATTTTCCTTTCTCTGTAATCACGCACAAACAGAAGTGTCAACAGACACTGAATAATTGAACACTAGATATTTTTCCCCTTCTAAAACTAAAATAAATTAATGCTTTAAATTAAATATCCGAACGGTATACACATGTACTTTGAGTCATTTCTTCAGCATGACCACTTTCTCCAAGTATAGTACAGAAATGGTTGTGATTTGAAAATTGTTGATAATTTGAGATCCACAGCTTAAGGCTGGAGGCTCCACATGATCAGGTCTCTGAGACAAATCAATGTTACAGTTTTTCATCAGAAAGTGAAATGCATTCTCCTAATCACTACCCTTGAAATACCCTCGTCTGCTTGCTTTCAGCATCTCATATTCCGATTCCATTGTCATCCAACAGATACACATCGGTATTATACAGCCACTTGATCTGCTATGATGCTGAGAGAGATGATTTGCGTTTGTGATTTTTCGGGCAGTTCAAAAATGACCTGACTGGGTTCAGAAGCAAGTGTAGTCTTTCACCTATTAAGGAGTTCATTCAGAGAAGTTAAGGGAATAAGTTACCAAACAAGTTGAGATTGCAACTTCAAGATCAGAATTGTTTGATTAGAAATTTTGATGCTATTAGAAGCTGAAAAAGCCTAAGCTATCAGTTTTGTGAGAGCTCAAATGGGAAGATTGCATAGATCACAGGTCAGAAGCTAAGGAGAATCAATTAAGTCAACCTTATGATTTTGATGTCGACGTGTAATTGCTCGGATTTGCATCACTATATAGTAATGGTGTTGGGAAATAATTTGAAACTTGTTTTGCTTTGTAATTTAAGACTTTTTGAAAAGTCTTTATCTATATCAATTGACTTGTCTTCCCTTTTTTATTCTCTTTATCCTCTGTGTAATAAACTATTCTGTAGTTAAAGAAGCTCTTAGGCTTATGTGATTATGCTTTAGTGACTGACCACTACGTTTACCACAGTAAATAAAATATCTTTCAAGCTAGGCTTCATTTTGGGATATCACTTGTCAATTAGCATATTTAGCTGGAATACTTCCATAGGGGTATAATGCCGCTACATACACTGCAGCTGTTCAATAAGGACCCTCACCCCTGTCATCATGCAACTAGTGGAGCCAAAGGTTGGCAGGAGAAGCAGTAGCTGAATAATAGGCTACAAAGAAGTCTTTTTTCTGGTGCAGAGATAGTAGGAACTGCAGATGCTGGAGAATCTGAGATAACAAGGTGTAGAGCTGGATGAACACAGCAGGCCAAGCAGCATCAGAGGAGCAGGAAGGCTGACGTTTCAGGCCTAGACCCTTCTTCAGAAATGGGGGAGGGGAAGGAGGTTCTGAAATAAATAGGGAGAAAGGGGGAGGCGGATAGAAGATGGATAGAGGAGAAGATAGGTGGAGAGGAAACAGACAGGTCGAAGAGGCGGGGATGGAGCCAGTAAAGGTGAGTGTAGGTGGGGAGTTAGGGAGGAGATAGGTCAGTCCAGGGAGGATGGACAGGTCAAGGGGGCGGGATGAGGTTAGTAGGTAGGAGATGGGGGTGGGGCTTGAGGTGGGAGGAAGGGATAGGTGGGAGGAAGGACAGGTTAGGGAGGCAGGGACGAGCTGGACTGGTTTTGGGATGTGGTAGGGGGAGGGGAGATTTTGAAGCTTGTGAAGTCCATATTGATACCATTGGGCTGCAGGGTTCCCAAGTGGAATATGAGTTGCTGTTCCTGCAACCTTCCGGTAGCATCGTTGTGGCACTGCAGGAGGCCCAGGATGGACATGTCCTCTGCGGAATGGGAGGGGGAGTTGAAATGGTTCGCGACTGGGAGGTGCAGTTGTTTAGTGCGAACTGAGCGTAGGTGTTCTGCAAAGTGGTCCCCAAGCCTCCGCTTGGTTTCCCCGATCTAGAGGAGGCCACAATGGGAACAGCAGATGCAGTATACCACATTAGCAGATGTGCAGGTGAACATCTGCTTGATGTGGAATGTCTTCTTGGGGCCTGGGATGGGGGTGAGGTGGGAGGTGTAGGGGCAGGTGTAGCACTTTCTGCGGTTGCAGGGAAAAGTGTCGGGTGAGGTGGGGCTGGAGGGGAGTGTGGAGCGGACAAGGGAGTCACTGAGAGAGTGGTCCCTCCGGAAGGCAGATAAGGGTTGGGGAGGGAAAAATGTCTTTGGTGGTGGGGTCGGATTGCAGATGGCGGAAGTGTCGGAGGATGATGTGTTGGATCTGGAGATTGGTGGGGTGGTACGTGAGGACGAGGGGGATTCTGTTTTGGTTGTTATTGTGGGGAGGGGGTGTGAGGGATCAGTTGCAGGAAACTCGCACTAAACAACTGCACCTCCCAGTCGCGAACCATTTCAACTCCACCTCCCATTCCGCAGACGACATGTCCATCCTGGGCCTCCTGCAGTTTCACAACGATGCTACCCGAAGGGTTGCAGGAACAGCAACTCATATTCCGCTTGGGAACCCTGCAGCCCAATGGTATTAATGTGGACTTCACAAGCTTAAAATCTCCCCTCCCCCTACCGCATCCCAAAACCAGCCCAGCTCGTCCCTGCCTCCCTAACCTGTCCTTCCTCCCACCTATCCCCTCATCCCACCTCAAGCCCCACCCCCACCTCCTACCTACTAACCTCATCCCGCCCCCTTGACCTGTCCGTCCTCCCTGGACTGACCTATCCCCTCCCTAACTCCCCACCTACACTCACCTTTACTGGCTCCATCCCCGCCTCTTTGACCGGTCTGTCTCCTCTCCACCTATCTTCTCCTCTATCCATCTTCTATCCACCTCCCCCTCTCTCCCTATTTATTTCAGAACCCCCTTCCCCTCCCCCAATTCTGAAGAAGAGTCTAGGCCCGAAACGTCAGCCTTCCTGCTCCTCTGATGCTGCTTGGCCTGCTGTGTTCATCCAGCTCTACACCTTGTTATCTCTTTTTTCTGGCGCAGTCTGGTATATCCCCTGGGGATCCTAGCACTGATCGTTGTGATACCCCAATAGTTACTGTGCCATTTGGAAAAGTAGTTGTTTATTCCTGCTCTTTATTTCCTGTCCACCAATCAGTTCTCTACCCATCTCAATACACCACACTTTATCCCATGAGCTTTCATTTCTCACTCTAATCTCTTATTCTGGACTTTGGTGAAAGCCCTCTGAAATTGAAAATAAATCACTTTCATGGGCACCCCTCATTGACTCTACTAGTTACAGCCCCGAACAATTCTACTGGAATTCTAATATATTAGAATTTCCCTTTCATAAATCCCTGCTAACTCTGTCTGATCTTGCCAATAATTTCTAAGTGCT